TAGATTACTCTGCTTCTATTTCTTTATATATTAAATAGAAAAATATGAAATTTTTAAAAAAAATTTCATATTTTTTAAAAATNTCATTCCAGTCTATTATTAATTAAAAAAATCTGATGATATAATTGAATATATCAAAAATACTTTAAAGATTAATGCTCAGAGTATTTACAATTCTTGATATTTTATATTTTAAAATCATAAGATGGTCTTTTAGTTTCTACAGAAATATTTTTTTACAGACAATTTTTTGGATTTTGGATTTATTTCTAAAAACTTACTTTAAGGATAAATCCACATACAAAAACTTAAAAAAATATCATTATCACTTAGAGATTTATTATTTAAGAAACAAGTGTAATTCTAACCACAATGTAATGTTTATCATATGAAAATTACTGGTGAATTTCATGCAATGTTAAGGAAATTTTCAAATAAAAGTATTATCTTTTTTTGCAATTAGGCTATAAAAACAAAAGTATTTACTTAAAAATATAAGAATATATTTGGCATTAATCTTTTTACAAAATGTATAACCAGATTTGACTGTGTGTGTATGTAACATTAATTTAGATTAACGAGAAAAAAATAATGAGAAATAGTGCTAATTTTATTTGATTTTTAAAATGTTGTTTTTTAAATAAGTCATAAATCCAAATTGCATTGTAATTCTGAATTCAGAGTTAAAAATATGACTAATTGAAATACAAATGATAATACCTAACAGTAAAAACTCATCTTTTAAAGTAGATAATATGTTAAAATAAGATTTTCAGAAATATTTTAAAGATTACTTTACCAAAATTACTTTAAAAAATTTCAAAATTTTTTGTTTTCTAGGAATTTCAAAAATATACATTTTCAATAGTAACAAAGATATTCAAACTTCCAACTTCAATCTTAGTTCCTTAAAAAAATACTAAAAGTATTTATATCTGTCCCTTAAATATACCGTCTTGTATAATAACAAAGTAGGATTTGCATTCAAATACAGAAAATATTAATTATAAAAGTGATATGTTATACATATGACAGAGATTAAAAACATAAAATTAAACTTTGTTTTTTTTTCTAAATTAAAACAAAATAAAGAATAAAGGGAAGGAAGAAATTGTTTTAAACAGTTCCTTTAAAATAAACAAAGATAACAAACTTGATTCATAGCATTATTTTTAATCTTTATGAGGAATTAAAAAACTAAAATTTATTTATTTTTTATTATAATGTTGTGAATATAATTTAAAAATAAATTTTGTTGAAGTTAATAGTTATCTGTTATGTTATCACTGTATAAAAAGCTGAAAACCGAAAAAATTATTTAATTAATCATTATTGATTAAATAACATTAATCCATATAAACATCTACTGTATATAAGTGTATGTACACATGATATCACAATTTATTTTCTTAAAGAAACTTAGTCAAGTTTCTTGAAGAAAATAAATTGTGTAAAAATAAATATTTATCTTATTTATGAAAAATAGAATTAAATGAATATTGGTATTTTTCCTTTAAAAAAACTTCATTTTAGAAATATATCATGCACTGTACTTCCTTTGTGTATATATTTATCTTATAAATAAAGCAATTATACCTGATAACATACAAATATGTAAATAAAGTTTTTCAAGTAAATCCATGTTTAATATCAATGTTTTCATACATATAATATAGAGAATCTTTGGTGAACAGAACAACATTGCTTTTAAAGTTAAAAAAAATAATAATTTTTGCAGGTAAATTAGAATCACATTTTAAATTCTCAATATTTATTAGACACATCTATACAGTGTGTGCAATCTTTGTAATTAATTAAAATTTAATTCAAAAATGTAAGTTATCTTCATTTTGAAATTTTTCTAAATTTCTAAACTTGAATAATTTTAAAATAATTTAATATACTTTCTTAAAACATTTTTATAAGATTCTTAAAAATGTTTACACCATTTGCACTCTTGAAAATACTTTTGTTTGGATTACATAAAAATACTTGTAAATTTTAACTTCATTTTTTTAAAGATGTTTATCATCAAATATTACTTACAATAAGATTTCCTTAATACTTTTAGAAAAATGCATTAAAAAAATTCTTTATTCTGATAAAGGACATTCATTTTCTTTCCTTGTTATGAGGATTAAACTAAACTAACTATACCAATCGAACAATCATTAATTTTCTTATATTTATGTATATTTTTATTCATCTTCAATGTTGTTTTTAATGGCAACAGTTTGACAATTTCTTGTAAAATACATATAATTATCTGTTTAGATATTTTATATAGAATTTTTCAAAAACATCATGAAAAATCTCGCTATATTGATGAACTATTTGACTTTGAAGATTATATATATATATATACATACACACACAACACACACAGAATAATGCATATGTTTCTCAAAGCTCATTAAAGGGGATATGTTTAAATTATTATGTATGCTATATCTATTGTATGAAAATATAAATATTAATCTTGACTGATGATAAACTTTGCAAAAAAATGTTGGTTTTATGAAACTGAAAAACAGGAAAGACAATTTTTGACAATTTGGTAATATAATTAACCTTAATTTATAAAACTAACCATAAATAAATTCAATAGTTTCATAGCATAAAAATAGATATACTATAACTATCCAATTAGAAATCAAATAAATTAATAGTCCATTTGTTCATAAAAGAATATCAACAATGATAATCAAAAATTTCTTAAATAAAAAGTTTTTGTAAAAAAGTTTATTTAATAACTTAAAGTTCCATTCACTCATTTTTTTATTCTTATACATTGTGTAACAATTATTAATTAAAAGCCAGAAACACAGACCCAAACTTTTCCAAACCTATCCTAGTTAAAAATTCTGTTTTAATGCAATTACCAGAATACAAAACAGCTTTATGTTCAGAAGTCTCTCTCTCTCTCTTTTTTTTTTTTTTATTATTATTATTAAAAAATGTTCTTGAGCTTTTAATCCTCCACTTTCAATTCATTTTAAATGTGAAAGTGACTAAATTGAATTTAGAATTTAAATGATTCTGAATATACTATTGTTTTAAATAAAAAAAAAATTACAAAGTAAATGCATAATTTATAAATGTTTTCCTCTTCTATAAATATATCTAATAATTCTATGAATCAGCAACATAAGTAAAATAGAACAATGGATAAGTATACAAAATCATAGAAAGTTTAAGCTTTAAGATAATACATATGTAAGTAATTTGTAGAACTGTGAAAAAATTTAGATATGTTTTATGAAAATTTTAGAAATAAGTATGTCCACAAAAATTCAAAAGAAAATAATCTAGTAAAAAGTTTTTATTTAATATGTATTTATACCTACTTCAAATATGTTTACAAAAAGTGAAAGATTATCAACAATCATTGATAATTCAAAATAATTAAATATATATTTTTTTAACTTTACCTTTAATGATTTTAAAGTTATGATCTCTCATGTTTTGTTCAAATCATTATAACTAAAGTAATTAATTTAAAAAATTATTATAGAATTATGTGTATGTGAAAGAAATGCAAGTTTATTACATGTAAATATTTTTGAATGAAGCAAAGAGAGTTAAGAAATATATCGATTAAAAACTTTACTCCTAAATGAAGTAATTTATGCAGTGCATTTTCAATATATATTTTTAAGAGTTTGAAATAATATATACAAAACTTTGAACACATAATATATAAAAACACAATAATATAAACATAAAATTACTAAGAATCATTATAAAATTCACAATTAGAATATAAAAAGAAATTCTATAATATTTTAAATTTTACAAAGATCACTTATGGAACTTTATCAAATAATAATTTCTATAATCAAAGATGTACATAATAATTTCAATAAAACAGAAAAACAGATCCTTTAATTACTTATAAGTTGTTTCCTAATTCTCTAAAACAGGTAACTGTCTTAACAAATAATTTAAGATCAATACCTTGAAATAACAATAAATGTTTTGAAAGATAATTTGTAACAGTGAATTGTTCTAACTTTTCATATCAAGTACCTTTAATTATATATAGCCTTTATATATAATTTAGTTAAAAAAATCAAAAATACAATAAAACATATTAAAACCTTTTATATAGGAAAGTGTTGCTATCGTTTAATTATTTAATTCAAGGATTATCATCGTTTATCTGAATTGAGAAACTGGTTCTAAGAAATTGGAAACATGAATAAACCAAATTTTTGTGAAATCTCACCAATTAAGTCTGTAAACTTATTTAATTACGACTTGAATTTTTAAAATTTAATCAACCAAAATATATAATTTTTTTTTATTTATTAATGCTAACTTGTTACGTACGCTCTTGAAAACAGCTAACATTTAATATGAAATAATAATAAAACCAAGTTTTTTTCTAAACTGTAATATAAATTTGATATCGCGTAATTGACTTATTATTTATCATCATCCACATATAGTTTTGTAAAGTATACCCTACGATTTCAAATCAACCTATAAAATAAGCTTTAATATAATAAAACATAACACAAATAAGAAAAACTTATTTAATATTTACAAATTGATAATCATAAAATTATCTAATTTTGAGCATTAAAACATGGCTTACATTTTAAATAATTAATTACTTTTAAAAGGAAATTCAAGCAGCTCATAACAATCTCATGTTTCATATTTTATTTTCAATGATTTTTTTTTCTTTTTTTTTCCTTTGGTTCATCTTAAACACTTTTTATTATTTGTATATAATTATTTTCTCAATAATATAATATAGTTTGTCACATTTATAATGAATAAAACATAAAAATCATCAGAAAAGATGAATTAAACTAGAAGTTTTTGAAAGAAATTTTTCTGTAATGGTAACTTTTAATGTTTTAATTTCACATATGAATTGTTTTTTAAATAAATATGATATTTGTCGACTGAACTGGACGGAGTATTTAACAATTAAGATGTAGGAGAGAATGAAAATAATTAACACATAATTATATAAAGAGGATACACACCATTATGTTCAGTAAATATATTTCCTGATCCAGTTGATGATATTCTCGAATCTTTTGTTCCTTTATATTTATGATGTTTATTTGTTTTATTCGCATTATGTCCACTACCAACAGATGATGTACTGCGGTTTTCTTTACCTTGTTGTGCACCCATTGCCTGGTGCCTCGAAACACTTAACCAGGCACGAATACTGCTATAAACCAAAATGTAAATAACACATTACGCTGGTTACGTATCCATTGAATCGTATTTGGTTCTGATAAGAGGTACACTACCGTACTACTTGTCCTCATTCAAACCTCCTTAGTGTCTTATCCGCCATCTTGTTTCTTCCGGAAGCTAACAGTAATCTCGAACCGGATGAGTCACTCTGTTAGATCATTCCAGGAAGAATAATGTGATTGTGAACCGCTTCAATGTCATTAACATCGAAAATTTTTTTTTCGTTTTTTTTAATTAAATTTTTACTAAATCTTCGGTGTATTATCTAATTATTATTTTTTTAAATTATTTTTTATGTAATTAAAAATATTTTGCCATAATTAAATAAATTTTATAAATTTTAAATAAACAGATTAAAAAATAAAAATAATAATTTAAAAAAAAAGCATTCCTAGCGCTAGAAATGGCGAGGATTTTAATTCTGTATAATAAAATATGTTACAAGTTTAATGCATTTAAAAAGTTGCATAATTTACTTAATTTTTTTTTATTTTTTTGTTCTTGGTTCATTAAATAGCTTTGTATTGTTCCTTTGCTGACGTAAATAAGAAAGATATTTTTCTTTTTCCCCCACTTATCAAACGAGTTTTGCGATATTATCTCCATTTTAATTATTGTCAAATAAATCGAAATACCTACATTTACATGCAATTTTTAATTAATATTGAAAATAAAATTAACGTTAAGTTTTATTTTTAAATTGATTTTTTAAAGCATTATCGGAATATTTATTAAATGGAACTGAATTCAAACGCTATATGATATAAGAAAAACATTTTATTAACGTTCAAAACATAAATATTTTTATAACCTGCACTTATATTAAATTAAAAAAATATAATATTATCAATATAAATATTATTTCTTCTTTAATCTCTTCGAAAGGTTATTTTATTGTTTTTTTAATGTATTTCCTAAGTACAAATAGGATAAGATTGAAAAAATCGTTTATCATATTTACTAAAAATTTAATATATTATATAGATATATACATAAGTATTTTAATTTGATTTAGATTGAACTTGATATCAAATATTAAAGCGTTAAAAAAAACACTGTTTTTGCACGTCAAATACTATAGAATTATTTAAGAGTTTGATTTGCACTAGTAAATTTTCCACATGGCAGTTTTACCATTTTGTTCTGCGTTTCACGCTCTAAGTCAAGCATCAAATCTTTTATTAATTAATTATTACCATATTATATAATAAAAAGAAAGTTTTTAAGTGGATTTTAAATATATTTTATTAAAAATTAAATTTCTTACACTTTGTATATTAAATATACACATGTATATCCAATAGGCCTATGCCGATATATCCAATTAAGTAACAAATAACAATTATTTCTGCTAAATGTGAACGAAATATGACTTTAAACCATTAAAATATTGGAACTGCAATGGGATTATCAGTTATTATGTAGCATAAATGGTAAGAATTACAATGTAACACACAATGTAAAGTGCAGTTGAGATGTCAATGTTTCGTTGCGTTGGATTCGGGTGGTAGGAAAACCCCAGGAATTTTTTGAGGGTTGTCTATCTCCGTCCTTCACTACCTGACCGTTCCCATTATAGATCTGGCCGAACCTATAATGGGTGTGATTAAAAAGACCCTCTTAGTGACCTCGGAGAAAATAATCGAAAATAAAAACGCCACTGATTTTAAACAAAGAAATGTCGAAAACAATGGTGAATTCATAATTATGTTCGGAAGGTAAACAAAAATTTAATTACGATTTAATTAAACATTCTATAAATTATTTTACATAGGAAACTGAAATCAAAATTTGCAGAAAATTTAATTAAAACAAATGATGAAATGGAATCTTTATATAATTTGTGTATTTTAAACGTGAAATTTTGATAAGATTAATAAATAATAAATATAGTCTACATTTTTTTTCATGTTTTAAATTTCTTGAAAAATCCGTGATCGACTCCAATCTGGACTTCTGTAATTCATCACAAATAGTTCGGACTGGAATGTTGTTTTCTATTTTACATTCACAATGATTCATTTAATTGATGATCAGGCCCATCTAAATTATTATTATAGAAAAATGTTGATAATCATAATGTATCAATGTTTCATTTTTGAAATAAAACGCTTTAGAATGAGATCTATCTAATATATTAAAACCTCTCTGTATAAAATCACGTTTGACTAGTCCAAAATTTCCAAAATTTCTTGATTTTCATTCAACAAAATTATCGTTTATTCAGTTTAATTCCATTCGTGGCTTTCATGATTTTCGTGTCCTTGATTTCTTTTCTGAATTGTCCTTTCTATACAGATACACGTGAATATTGCTATTTATATTGCACAGTCTTCATAATTAAGCCACTAGTATTGTTTGAATTGTGTTTTTATGCTGTACAAATATATTAATAAATGTTATTTATGTTCGGCGCTATTCGTAATTTTTTGTTACGCCCAGGAACAAATTAAATAAGTGAGTTAAACAAAACAAACGATTTTTAAATTTAATCAAAGTAATATATCTCGAGAAATTAAAACAATTTTTCTTACTCTAAAAAACTCCCTTTTAAAGCTCGTTATCAGCGGTTAAAGCAAAATGAAAGTTAATAAATAGCCTACTTTAAATCTGTTATTTCCTGTTATAGTTTATATATTATATACCTCAGTGACGTGCCGTCATTAGAAGCGGTGAAAGCGCCGCTTCCCTTGTATTTTATAAAAAATAAATACATATTACAGTAGAGCGTCGTTTATCCGAATCAATTGGGGAATGGGGTTGTTCGGATAGCTTATATTTCGGATAACCGATTATGTACGAAAAAAATGTATTAACCTATCCCGTGTTGAAATTTTTCTCCGTTGCGTGTCGCTTCGCGTTGAATTTTCGTCGATGTTAAGCTAACGTAAACTTTTTAAAATAATCGTGACTATTGTATCGTTAAAAATTATTTCTTTATTTTATACAAACAAAATAAATATATTGANTAATGCTCAGAGTATTTACAATTCTTGATATTTTATATTTTAAAATCATAAGATGGTCTTTTAGTTTCTACAGAAATATTTTTTTACAGACAATTTTTTGGATTTTGGATTTATTTCTAAAAACTTACTTTAAGGATAAATCCACATACAAAAACTTAAAAAAATATCATTATCACTTAGAGATTTATTATTTAAGAAACAAGTGTAATTCTAACCACAATGTAATGTTTATCATATGAAAATTACTGGTGAATTTCATGCAATGTTAAGGAAATTTTCAAATAAAAGTATTATCTTTTTTTGCAATTAGGCTATAAAAACAAAAGTATTTACTTAAAAATATAAGAATATATTTGGCATTAATCTTTTTACAAAATGTATAACCAGATTTGACTGTGTGTGTATGTAACATTAATTTAGATTAACGAGAAAAAAATAATGAGAAATAGTGCTAATTTTATTTGATTTTTAAAATGTTGTTTTTTAAATAAGTCATAAATCCAAATTGCATTGTAATTCTGAATTCAGAGTTAAAAATATGACTAATTGAAATACAAATGATAATACCTAACAGTAAAAACTCATCTTTTAAAGTAGATGATAATATGTTAAAATAAGATTTTCAGAAATATTTTAAAGATTACTTTACCAAAATTACTTTAAAAAATTTCAAAATTTTTTGTTTTCTAGGAATTTCAAAAATATACATTTTCAATAGTAACAAAGATATTCAAACTTCCAACTTCAATCTTAGTTCCTTAAAAAAATACTAAAAGTATTTATATCTGTCCCTTAAATATACCGTCTTGTATAATAACAAAGTAGGATTTGCATTCAAATACAGAAAATATTAATTATAAAAGTGATATGTTATACATATGACAGAGATTAAAAACATAAAATTAAACTTTGTTTTTTTTTCTAAATTAAAACAAAATAAAGAATAAAGGGAAGGAAGAAATTGTTTTAAACAGTTCCTTTAAAATAAACAAAGATAACAAACTTGATTCATAGCATTATTTTTAATCTTTATGAGGAATTAAAAAACTAAAATTTATTTATTTTTTATTATAATGTTGTGAATATAATTTAAAAATAAATTTTGTTGAAGTTAATAGTTATCTGTTATGTTATCACTGTATAAAAAGCTGAAAACCGAAAAAATTATTTAATTAATCATTATTGATTAAATAACATTAATCCATATAAACATCTACTGTATATAAGTGTATGTACACATGATATCACAATTTATTTTCTTAAAGAAACTTAGTCAAGTTTCTTGAAGAAAATAAATTGTGTAAAAATAAATATTTATCTTATTTATGAAAAATAGAATTAAATGAATATTGGTATTTTTCCTTTAAAAAAACTTCATTTTAGAAATATATCATGCACTGTACTTCCTTTGTGTATATATTTATCTTATAAATAAAGCAATTATACCTGATAACATACAAATATGTAAATAAAGTTTTTCAAGTAAATCCATGTTTAATATCAATGTTTTCATACATATAATATAGAGAATCTTTGGTGAACAGAACAACATTGCTTTTAAAGTTAAAAAAAATAATAATTTTTGCAGGTAAATTAGAATCACATTTTAAATTCTCAATATTTATTAGACACATCTATACAGTGTGTGCAATCTTTGTAATTAATTAAAATTTAATTCAAAAATGTAAGTTATCTTCATTTTGAAATTTTTCTAAATTTCTAAACTTGAATAATTTTAAAATAATTTAATATACTTTCTTAAAACATTTTTATAAGATTCTTAAAAATGTTTACACCATTTGCACTCTTGAAAATACTTTTGTTTGGATTACATAAAAATACTTGTAAATTTTAACTTCATTTTTTTAAAGATGTTTATCATCAAATATTACTTACAATAAGATTTCCTTAATACTTTTAGAAAAATGCATTAAAAAAATTCTTTATTCTGATAAAGGACATTCATTTTCTTTCCTTGTTATGAGGATTAAACTAAACTAACTATACCAATCGAACAATCATTAATTTTCTTATATTTATGTATATTTTTATTCATCTTCAATGTTGTTTTTAATGGCAACAGTTTGACAATTTCTTGTAAAATACATATAATTATCTGTTTAGATATTTTATATAGAATTTTTCAAAAACATCATGAAAAATCTCGCTATATTGATGA